GAGTTTGACTACCGCCTTTTTGGCTGGATGCTTGTCGCCGCTGACTCCCTTCGCGACGAGATTCGTGACATCTTCTCCGCGCCGTCTCCTCCTCCTGTCCCGTCGCCTTGATGGGGGCCTCTTCGTTTCCCCATCCTTTCCGGCCCTGTACTTTGCTCGCGCTTGCCGTCCGGGCCGTATTGTTTGGAGATGGGCACTCTTTGGCTTGCGGGTGACATACCCGGGTTCTTGAACTGCATGGACAAGCTGGATTGGTGGGTTGGTGACGGATAGGTGTTTGTTGGAGTTGGATCAGGTGGACATTTTGTCACGGTTTGTGACGTTTTCTGAATATGTAATTATAATTACATGTTCAGCCTGCTATTGGGCGGGAAGATCGCAGGGCTGTACCGTAAGGGATGGTTACGTCCAGTAAGCTAGTTTACGGGAGGCCCGAAGATGGGCGGGCGAAAAAATTGCTACCCGACAGTGCTCTGTCAGCAGGGCGCCCAGTTTGCGCGGGAACATGCTGCTGCTGGGGCCCCAAGGGAGGCAACGGTCCTTGGGGCCGGGTTTTGGCTCGTTCGGGAACTGTTTGGCGGCGCCGAGGCCTAAGGAGGCGACGCGCCATCAGTCTGCACTTTGTTTTCTCCCCGCCCGCCCTCTCCTTGGGGTTTTTGTTGGGATTGTTTTTTGACATTGTTGAAACTTCGCTCGAGATGAACATTTGGGACCGGAAAAGGCACTCTTTGGCTTGCGGGTGACATACCCGGGTTCTTGAACTGCATGGACAAGCTGGATTGGTGGGTTGGTGACGGATAGGTGTTTGTTGGAGTTGGATCAGGTGGACATTTTGTCACGGTTTGTGACGTTTTCTGAATATGTAATTATAATTACATGTTCAGCCTGCCATTGGGCGGGAAGATCGCAGGGCTGTACCGTAAGCGCCCCTTGCCGACACTCTCATCCTAGGACATGCACGTACAGAATTGAGGGGGCGCGGGGCAACATGCGGCTTTTGCGCCTTGTCGCGATGAAGACGAGGACGCTTTCGCGCTCCTGCTGGGCCCTCGGCTGCTTACTTTACCTCCTTTTCGGCAGCGGCACAAGCCACCCAACGGGTGCCGGATCCTGCAGTTCTCCTTTGTTGGGCCATGGCGAAAGCAGTGCGCGGGTCTCCAGATGGGGGTTTACACGTGCGAAGCGCTGGACAACGACATGCAGTGGCTGGGAAAGCCGTCTCGCGGGCAGGTTGCGGGATATCCATTCATTAATGCTTGAGCATGGCTGTTTGGATGCGCCCAAGAACACCTCAGCCACGGCAACGCACCATTTGACACCTGACGTTGGCCCAATTTTTTCTTCTGACCTTTCATGTTGTGGTCGTCCACCTGCGACAGTTGCGCGGAACTTGTCGAAAGACGCACTTATCAGATTGAAATGCCATGAGACTGGGACCCAAACATCGCCATAATGCGTCGTCGATGGCAACTTTAGCCAACGTGGATGTGTCGGCCAGCGTCTGGTCTGCAGACCGGGGCGTCCTTTGCTATCTTCCAATCACCTTTTTTCGGCTGCAGCGGCTTTTCGACAGAAGCTGATGATTGCATTGCATGATTCCCTGCGATGGCAAAACGTGGCACGTTGATGCTGCTGCCGATTGTTTTTCTGTGGGACCTGTTGACCTGTGATTTGTGGGAGTCGTTCCAAGTTCCCCGGCTTTGAAACCTGTGCCCAACGCCTTCTTACGTTGATATCTTTCACTGACTGTAAGAGATTTTGGTGAGAGTCCAGGGCTTCCTTGAGACCTTCGGGGGCTTTCAGATTGTTGCCAATGGAGAGGGTATGTTCCACAACTTGCCTCGTGAGGCCCAGTTCAACACTGAGTACTGTGACGAACATGGCAGGGTGACTCACATTGACAAGGTACATTGATAGAAAGCAGTACCTGGCCCCATGTTCCAGTATCAATAATTTCTGTCAGCTTCATGAGCTACTGGAAGCAGCTCAGATGGTCCCGCTCTGTGTCGAATTCTGACGATTTGCAGTTGGATGATGCAGAAAGACAAGGAGGAAATTTTGGTGCCCTTAAAAGGTGTCTGAGATGGCCCAAAATATTAATTTCACCTGCTACGTAGTCAAGAACTTCACTCACTGGTAAGAGCCCAAAGACACCAGTTTTGGTGCAGAGGTACTGTGTCAACGCTTCAAAACTGAACAGAGAACAGTATGTTCTGCAGAGAGCAGGTACACTGTGTATGCCATTTATTGTTCTTCAAACTGTGCAGGTTTTTGATGGACCTGTCTTGGAGTTGCATTCCAAGTTCTGGTGAATGGAACACACGTTCAGGCACGTTGCAACAGTGTGCGCTCCTTTGCTAATGCAGAACCTGCGGTGGCTTGAGTGCACAGTGATGTTTGTGTTTGGTGCTGTGATAGGCATTTGCTCTGCATCGTGCTGTGCACGCCTTGAAAGTTGTTTTTCTTGTCGAAATTTCTGAAAGACATATTCTTATTGTGCATCTGACACCACATTTCCGAAGGCACCATAGCATCGTGCAGGGGCAGCCCGCCCATTTACCATACCCTCATGTGCTCTGTGTAGGTATGAAGCATCTGAATTCCAGAGAATTCAGACAAACCAGGCTACTGGCAGAGCACCACAATATTGTTCACAGGCATCAAGCTTGGATGGTTATGCCTGCATGCAACAGCTCGCTCCTTATTTTGCTCTCCACTGGAGAATTGGTGGCAAAATATCAGCCTTGCAAGACCAATCCGATAAGGCACACAATGTTGCTGTGGGAGAAATTGCTTTTGCAATGATGGGATTGACACCGGGTTGGGTTGGATTGGCCTTTGCACAAAAGCAAGGAGAGATGGCTCCAGCCGATGGCATCATAGGCTGGCTCTCTGATGGTGTGGCAACTGTGAAGGCTTACAAGATACACGTGAGTCTTGCCGGGACATATTTCTGTGAGCATAGCACTGCTGTTGACCACTGTGCTCCTATTGCTTGGCTGCAAATTTTTTGACTTTTTTTGTGTTCCTATGTGCCAGAGGAGTGTGCCTGCTGAGCTCATCAATAGCACAGACTGAGAACAGCAGATGTTACAACCAGCCCAACATCTCAAAATCACTGCCTTTTGTGCCTCTGCAGAGCCACACAGTTCGCCTTGGTGATGAAGATCGCACGATTTGCTTGCGTAACGCAAGTGCAACCGAAGAGAATGGGTTTACCACGATTGAGTTTAGGCGACTCATGCGTGCTGGAAGAGTGCACATTCACCCAACAAAGCCCATGTTTGTAAATTTTGCCATAGGGAGAGAGGATGGGCTGACCAATCATCACCATAGGGGCAGAGGATCAGTTTTGCTGAGTCTGGATTCTGAGAAATCTCCGGTCCATTGCTGTGCCATTCATGCTTCCCTGATGTTGATTGCGTGGCTTGGATTGCTGCCGCTGGTTGAGTACAAAGGGAAAGGCCATTTGTTGTCAGTTAAGCCTTGCTGGAATGTCCATGGTACCCTGCTTCCTTGATTGCATTTTGGTGTGACAGTAAAGCTTAACTCAAAAACTGCATGTCAATGTGGTTCTTCTCTTGGGAAGTGCATGTCTATTGAGACATCTCCACTTTCCACACTTTCCATGCCTTTATCGTGTTCCACACTGCTCCATACTAATCTTGCTGTGTCCGTTGTGTTTGGAGATATGTTTCACTGCCAGATATCTCACTGTCCTGAACTCTGTCACAGGTGCAGCTGCATCACGGCATAAATGGGCATTGTTTTCCCTTGGCCAATTTGGATGGTTCTATGTGCATCACGGTATTGTTGTTGCCATGTTTCTTATGCTGGCATCACTGGTGACTGTGATGTTGACATTTGAGAAACCCTTCATGGCAGAGGGACGTTTGCACAAGTATTGTGGCATTGGCATCAGTTCACTGCTGGGGGTTCAGATTGCCATGGGCCTCTTGAGACCCTCATCTCATCATAGACTACGGTGGGTGTATGAGCTTTGTCATCATTGGCTGGGCCGTATTCTTTTAGTCGCTGGCACCACTGTGGCATCCCTGGGAGTGAATGCACTGAAGGCTCTGTTTGATGACAGCATCACTGGATGGGTAAGTGTTTTGCTGCGTGGCCAGAGTCTCGTACTTGCTTGTGTTGATCCTGTGTGATCCTTGAATGTCGACCCACCCTTTCAG